GAAGTCCAGAAGCTGCAAAACACAGGAGCAGCTTCCGGTTTCCCTCCATCCCCAGCTCTGTCCCCTGACAACTTGTCTGTATCTTCCTCCTCAGTAAGCGAGGGTGTTGACAGGTGAGCTTTGAGGAATGGTCAAACTCTGCTCTGGATTTGGGGGTTCACGTCTGTAGGTCCCAAAGCACACAATGAGGATGGCAACTGAGGGACTCAAAGTCCTCCTGGCTCCAAGTCACACTCATCTGTGACTTATCTCAGAGAACATCTGGCAATGTACAGGGATGAGCCTAGAGCCCCACAGTCAACAAGAAGCACCTTGGTGACTATATTTTGCCCTCTCTGGGAAAGAGGGACTAGGGCTGTGAAGGAAGGAAGAAGACAGTGCCAGAGGGGAGAAGGGCTTCTCATCAAAGGTCAGGAAGTGAAGACATGCAGATTGAGGTACCTCTCTGCTTGCTGCAGATAACTGGGGAAGGGACGGGTGTCTCTGCCCCGTGCTGGTAGCAGGGCTGTTTATCTCTAAGTAACATCAGCCAGAAGTAACAACAGCCACCTGCCTCAGTTCCACCTCAGGGAGTCACAACAGGATGTGGTTTGACATTTGCCGGGTTCCACAAGTGGGGCACATGTGAAAATCCCTCCTCCCTCCCCCTTCTCACCCACCAGGAGAGCCGGACTAGCCACATCCTGTCCTCAGCATTTCCTATACTGCCGGGGCCTCTGTTGCATTCTGGCAGTGAAATGGAGCTGCGGAGGGCAAAGGAGGGGGTGTGTAGAGAGGAAGCCAGGCCTCCCCGCTCTACGACGAGCAGCTTGGGAGCATCACACCGCTGTTTTTCATTCGCTCACACCTGTGGGAGGCCACACACCAGATCAGAGGCTGCAGTGGTCCCGAGGAGAGCGTGGAGACTGAAAGACAGCTGGGCTAACTGCTCTGACCCAGTTGGGGTTCCACATCACTCACACACTCCCTCCCCTGGGCCCCCAACTCTGTCCTACCCCCTGCACCTGTGTCTCCCATTCCCTGCCACTCACGTAATGAGAGGTGCTGATGAGTCACAGAAAGGGATCCCTAAGGGATCAGCAGACTGCAAGATGCACCCTCCCTGGCTGGTTGATCTGCTATCTGTGTTCCAAAAAGGGTTTTCTAAGGTTCATTCCTTAGCTGTTTGTTAGTTTTTACCTCATCGAGTGAGAGGAGAAGGGAAAACATAATGCATATGAAAGAACGGACATGGGAGGTCCCAGGCTATAAGCTCAGCAAGGCTGCTTTGCCGACCCTCAACCCAGAGCATGTAGTCAGGACCACAGTGGAAGGCAGCCTGATACATATTTGCATCAGCAGCTTCCCAGCTCTGGACCTTCACCATCTCCATTAAGCTGGGTAGAGCCGCAGCCCCCCAGTGCCACCATACCAATCCCACAGTAGCTGGAGGCCCATGGGAGATGACTTGAAGAGTGTCTTTCTGTCCACCTGCAAGTGGCCCTGGTCCTGCCATGTGCAAGAGTCTGGGGGTTGAGTGGCCAGAGAGATAGCTCAGTAGAATAAGTGCTTGCCTGGCAAGCACAGGGTCCTGAGTTCAATTCCTGGTACAGCAAAATAAATAAATAAGGGTAATGCATTACAGTAAACCTTCTCAAACATTTCGTACTACAACACCATACAGGTAGTGAAAGAGTCTAGGGTTTGGGATTTAGTCAATAGTTATCCTGGCATACTACAGACCAGGAGCCAGGATCACGGGCCTGGAATCCCTCCTAGAAAGGCACAGCTTCATGGGACCGATGGAGAAAAGGAGAATGACAGACAGATTTTTGGCCAGAGGTGGGACCTTTGATCACAGCCACCATACTGAGCTTGGTTTCCTTTCCCTTTGTAGTAACGATGACAGGATTCTGAGTCCTATGTGCCACACAGGAACAGTAATGGGACAAGAATTCATATGCATGAACAGGGCAGATTGAATGAAGGCTATTACCATGTTCTGCTAAGTTTAGATGGCTTGCATGCCTTCCCTGAAGTGACTACCCTGCCTGTTGATCCGCCTCCATCTGCTTTAGTGTGTGCCATGACCAGAACGCATACTCAATGATTTTTTTCAGAACTTACAACATTCACTGAGGTCTCCACTCTCCTGCTGGGAATGACATTTTATCTCCTTTGTGGTTGATATAGGGGAATGAAACTCCCAACCTGAAAGATAGCTGGGTCGAGGTTGTGTTCTCTAAAACAGAAGATTGAGTTTTAGGAACAAACAGAGGTTAAGAGAAGAATATATTTATTGGGGGAAAGAATGCTTCTGTCCAATAGAGGGACAGAAGGGAGACCCCAGTGGGTTGCCCCCAAACTGTATTTTCTAAGGATTTTTATAGAGCAAAACCACATGGTGAAGCAGGTCTAAGGTGGAGAAAGTGGGAGCTTCCTAGGCGGGCATGAGGTGGACAAAGCTTTGGCCAACAAATAAGATTGCAAGCACCATTGCTCAGGTGAAATTGTTTAAGTCCAGGACCAAATGGGGAAGCGAGTCACATAGCAAGGGGGCATGGATACAGAACAGGGGCTTTTCCTGTAGAGGGCTGGGTTAGTGACTACCCCAGGCATCCTCTGGGTGAGAGACCGATTTAGAAGGTGAATCCCCCATGTCTGTCCTTAGGGAGGTGTGCATTTGTTTGTTCTTTTGCCTTGACGTCTGGCCCACAGCAGGGGTGTCTGTCTCTCCCAAAGTTGCAAAGTCACCTTGCCTTCCATATTCTCTCCTCCAGGCCCTATCTGACTGTCTATAACATGTCTATCTAACCCAGCTGCCTGTAACATGATGTTTTCTAGAACTTTTCTGAACAGTTCACAAGATTGAAAAATCTGTTTCAAGTCTCTCCCCTACTCTGCTTGCCTAGTAATGACTGTCTGGGACATTTCTCTGTTAAGGATTTATAAACCTCCACCCAGAAACACCAATGGTCAACACCACAGGGCATGAGTTTCACGGGTTTGCCGCCCAGGCACACTCGACATTTTAAAATAGTATTTTAAAAATTAGATACTAAAAAATAAAATAAAATAAAATAAAATAGATCTTGTGTTATTTAATTTAAATGTCTAAAAGTAAATCTTTCTTGGGGGAAATTATAATCAAAATGTCTTATAGACTAAGGAAAAGAAAATAGTACCTATTGAAAATTAGACTTAGTAACAGACTTAGACTTTATAAATATGATCTCATTTAATACACGTAACAGTTCACTAAGAAAGGTTTTGCAGAAGTCCAGTAAGAAAGGGACAAATGCACAGCAGCTGGGGTTCAATCCCCTGCGTGTGCTGCTAGCCTCACCCCCCAGGGAGTGCTGAGACAGCAATTGAGACTGGGCGTGGTGGTGCGCGCCTGTAACCCCAGCACTTGGGAGGCTGAAAAACAGGAGAATCACTGAGTCCGATCTACGCAGTGAGACCCTGTAGACTCTGTACTAAATACATAAAAAGAAAAGTACAAATTAAATGAGATCTAGAGAGACTAAAGAGGCAATCCAAAGTTACAGTAACTAGAAATTTAGATTCAGCGCTTAAGGACTTGGACCAGGCTGCCTCTGGGCAGCACTGGTTGGAGTACTTCCTTCTTCTTAACCTTCATGATAGCTCACCACCTAGAACGCAGGAGCCGCTGAATTCAGTCTCCATCCTTCTTGTGCAGGAGGAACTCTGGGCCGTTTTCAGCTATTGCATTCATAGCTCTGGGCTTCAGACGTTCCTCTGCAGATGAACCCATACTGAAAACAAATGCCTCTGAATTAGCCCGCATTACTGATGCCAGGAGCAGACGTCTTGTGCCCTCTTGTGGAAGGGAAGGGACATCAGGGAAAAAGAATTTTTTCTTTTTAAATTAATTCTTTTCTCTTTTTTTGGACCAATTTTGCACACCTCTTGTAATCTGAACAACTACTCTGAAGATGACAATGTACTATATAACAACCATTGTTGATTTTCTATCATCTTGTTTTGAAATGTTGTATCATTTTTTTATTTTGTTTATTTATTTATTTGGTGGAACTGGGGAATGAACTCAGGCCCTCGTGCTTGCCAGGGAAGTGCTTATTCTACTGAGCTATCTCCCCAGCCCACTGTATCATTTTTAACATGTTTTTATTCTTTATTCTCTTGAAAAAGAAAAAGAGAAAGAGGACAAGGGAGGGATGTGGACAGAAGGAAGCTGAGTTGCCAAGGTAACTGAGGCATCCCTCCCCAGCCACTTGCATCAGCCTGTGGCTCTCCTCCATTTCCATCCAACTCATCTATCTGTCTTTGCCAGGCCTCTTCCACTGCGCACGCAGCCCTCGCCTCCGCTCTCAGTCTCAGCTCTCAGATCACCTTCTGTCTGCTTCTTTTGCTCTGAGAATGGAGACTGTGGAACTAGATTTTTTTTTCTTCTAAAATTTATAAAGCCCACAGAGTAGTCAGAATTCCTAAGTCACCTTCCCTGGCTCCAAGCTTCACATTCGAGTATTCACAGAATTTCCTGTCTCACTGCAAAGATCAATGACAGGAGAGTCTCCCTAGTGATGCAATGAACCAGTTAAATAACCCGGATTGGCACCGTCCTGACTGTTCACTAGCCCACCTTCTGTCATGTCTGGCTGCAGGTGTGTCCTGTTTCTCTGACACATCTGCACATATGCATATGTAGTATAGACCAGCAGGAATCTGGGGCAATAACAGGGTCGTAGGCAACAGTGGCAAATTTCAAGCAATGGCACGTGGTAACCTAGGACCAGCATCCACTTAGGAAATTGAAGTGCGTGCAGGCAATCCTCAGGTCTGTACACAAAAATCACTTTCATGTAGAACTTCCTGCAGTTCTTTGGAGAATTCTGGCTTGACTCTCAGTGATTACTGCATCTCACCTTGTGGCTAGAGCCCAAGTCACCCAGACCCTCTCTCCAGCCCCTAAGGGAAGGAGAGCCCCAGGGAAGAGTGGGCAGGATGGAGAGAGGCTGGGGTTTTTGCACAGATGTCTACTCTGCCTGGTGCATTGTGAGGCTCCAGGCACAGAGGTAGAAGCCAGAGTCACTTAGAAGCAGCTTCTTAGAGCTCAGGATGAACTGGCCGTCCTTGGGTCTGGAGGCTGAGAAGTTCTGGGGTGCTTCAGAGGTCACCTCACCCACGTTGATGGAGTAGAAGAGCAGCAGGAGGGACCCTCCGGCCACCTGCCGGTACCAGTATAGATTGGGGTTTGATTTCCCCTTCACGCTGCACTCCAGAGAGAGGGTGCTTCCTACAGGCTGCACCTCGGTAGCTGGCCACTGATGGACTGTCTGAGCTCTGACACCTGTGGAAAGGGTAAAGCGCCACTGAGAGAGGAAAACCCTACACCCTGCTTGCCTCCGACCTTGAAGGAATGTGGTTCAAGGCCTTCCAAGGTTCAAGCTCATGGAATCAGTCATGGGGAGCTAGTTTGGGAGAGCCAAGTGCACAGCACGTCACTGGCCTGGGGGAGATGGAAGGTCAGAGTCTTTCCCAGGGGACAGAGATAACCCACATGCGGCATAGCACGCTGGCCAGCAGGATGAAAGCTTTATATCTATTCAAGGCAGTTGGAGAAAGAGTCGAGAGCAAGCACCCAACAGCTGAGGCTGTGGATCACAGGGTGGGAATGAAGGCAGTACTCTGAAGGCAGAACACCCACCTAGGGAAGCACCCAGGAAAAGGCCAAGGATGGAGCACAGCATCGTTCCACATAGATTTGGCTCGAGCTGTCTGCTCTTCTGCGCCACTGATGCAGCCTGCCCCTCCCTCTTGAAGATCAGAGGGATCCCATCCCCTTGAGCTGGGGAGGAAAGGAGGCTGGTCTAAAGGATGTGGTGAATCATCCCAGCCCTCTTTATCACTTTGCATTCTTGCTGAGATCTCCCTACTCAAGCACACTTAATGACTCACTATTTAACTGTAAACAAGAGACAGGGTTTTGATATCTCCTCCCTCCAGGGCTAGGGAAAGGCTTTGTGACCAACAGACACATTGTGAAAGTGGCCAGATGGTGCACCCGGGATGCTGGACCTTCTGAAGTTAGAAAGTAGTGCCAGTGAAGGTCACCTGGGTGGAAGAAAGGAGACTAAAACAAATCCAGACTCAGGAGATTTAGGTCTTCCAGGTGTTCAAAGCAGAAAAGTTTAGTTCTGAGAGAAGGCAATTGCTATGGCAGGATCACCCTCATTCCTTTCATCCCTGGGAGAAAGAATTCAAGACCTAGACAGGCAGAAATAACTACCGAACTGATCAAAGTTGGCCTCTGGGCTCCTTTTGCCTGCCGTGGTCACGCCAGATCTAAGTCTTTCTCCAAAGGCAGTGTGGGGCCCAGGAACCACCGCGGAGCCTTAGAATCAAATGGGTCTCGGTTCATGTCACACCTCTGCTTTGCGCATTCGCGGGAAAACGCTTCACTAACTCTGATCCTTCCTTTGCTCAACTATAAAAGAAGGCGGATTTGACTTAGAAGTGGTTGAAAGTTGTTCATGTCCTGCGACACTGCAGGCACTCCTACGAGGGCTTAAGCCTGAGCCTACAGCAAAGACTGGAACATTTACAAGAAGGTGGGGGAGTGGGTGGGAGCCAAAAAGGCGACCAAGACACAGGAAGCACACTGAGGGAGATTATCTGAGCAGCTGGTGGAGCCTCATTTTGCTGAAATGAGACACTGCAGAACCCTAGGGGGCTTGAAGAACAGCCCACCGGCTCTTCTCCCAGAGGGATTTAGTTTCAAGATCGTTCTTCATCTTGGGCTGCAAGTGCTGGAGTGATTTTTTTTTAATTTTTTAATTTTTCAAACCAAATTGGTAGGACTGTTTCAATAACACATTGCATACATTCTTCCTAGTGGTTAATTTCTGTACAAGATGCGGACATGATATCCTATTTACGAACACCATTAGAACAAATCCCTCTATTCATTAAGAGAATGTAACTATATATCTATCCCAGTCACTTTGAATACACAGATACAAAATGGACATTCATCTGTATCCCCTTTTTTGTTTAGTTCTGTTATTTGAATATTATAGGTGTGTTAACTCAGCAAAATATATTCCAAAAGAGTCAAGTAGCCCATAATAGTATTGGGTCTTTCGCTTCACTGGCAATGTCAGAAATTGTTGACCTGAGTCCCCTACAGCTCAACATAACAGCATGGCTTTACTTTTTATATTTCGTTTTTATACTTTTCTGCTGGATGGTTAAGACCAAGATAAAGCAGGACCTATGCAACAAGAGTTGTAGCTTTTGGGTCTGTTAAGGTCAGTGAAATCCCCTCAGGATTTATCCTGAGATCCTGTACCTCACATTGTAGAACCTTTGTCAGTGTCAGCCATGTGGATGAGTCACGGCCATTGCTCAGAGAATGTGTCTCTGTGAAAGCCTGAGAGAATGTTTTCTCTCCATGTGACTCTCCTTAGGCACACTCTACATCATCGATCACTTTTCTCTTTGGCCCCATAATCTCCTTGATCAGAAAATTTGGGACACTACCGAGTTACATGACATTACAGTACAAGTTCTCATATGTCCTGAGTCTAAAGTGACCTTGGAAGGCTAGGGCCAAAATGTTGGCTTTCCTTGTAGCCCTCCTTTTTCTCTAATTTTGGTCTGCAAACTTAGGTTGTTAACCATCCAGAAGACAAGCTTATTGTTATTACCATACAACCTAGGCTGGAGTGATTTAAAGGATGTACTTGCAAAAGGAAGCGGTGCAGAGAGGCTGAACAGGGAGAAGGAGCCTAAAGCAAACCAGGACTTTGTACGGTCTTTCCAATTCATCAAAATTTTTTTTAAATTTTATTTAGGTGTGTGTGTGTGTGTGTGTGTGTGTGTGTGTGTGTGTGGTCAGCTCAGGGCTGGCTGGCTTGTGGTGCTGGGGGATTGAACCGCGGTCTCTGTGCTTCGCTAAGCTTGTTCTAAGTAGGTGCTTTAGACCACTGAGCCATCTCACCAGCACAATTCATCAAATTTTATTGAAGTAATATATATTTGTTCTGGTGTTAATGCTGATAGGTTCCAGCCCGAGTACAAACCGCTAGATTATCATGGCCCTGATTCACCATGGCTGAACCCCAAAATAGCTCCTCTTCCAGGTAACCACTTCCTCCTTCTTCCCCGCCCCAGGCTTGGATACAACTTCCTTTTACCTTTCCCGCGCACACAGAGAATCTCCAATCACCTCCTTGTGCGTCACTGCCCCTTCCCCGCCCCTCAAGCTCCTCCCCTAGCAAAAGTGCAGGAAGTCTGGGCCTCCCTGTCTCAGGTCAGAGGATCCCCCACCTCCCCGCCCTACGCCCTGCTCAAGAACCTAACAAATGCTATAGTCATTCAATTCCCAGTTAATACTGCTGCCTTTGCCTGTTTCAGCTACAGCACATTTCATTAGTTTGCATTCGAATGTACCGCATTTGTGCTTTTTGGTTTTCATTTTTTTCTAAGTGTAATCCTTTTTCAAGATTTATTTAAATGAGAAATTAGATGGTAAAGAAAATGTGCATTCCGTCACTCTTTAGAACACAGGATGAGAAATAGCTACAGGCAGCTGAAGAAGCCAGTGTTTTATGATTGTTCACTCTCAATTTGTATCACTGTAAATAGCGCTGCTCGTCAGGATTACAGGCAAGGCGTGCAAGATGACTAGTAATGTGTAACCCATTTATCCCTTTTCTTCCATTTCTGACCTCATTCCTCTTCGCTTCTGGAACTGTGATGGAATTAAATCTGAGTGGGGACGAGGGCGGAAGGCGGACGGACAGAGGGTGGCAGCAGATTCATGCAGAAGAGATTGTTCTTGCTGTCTACGTGAATGCTCCCGTTTGCCTGGGGCTGGCAGGCTTTCGGGCCCGCTCAGCCCCCGAGACCTGCTGTAACTCAGCAGCTGCACTGGCTCAGGGTCATTACCGAGTGCAGCAGGCGATGTAATCTTTGTCCTTTGGGGTGGCACAGCAGATTGGAGGGTGAGGAGAGAGATCAGTCAGACCACAGCCGCCAGCTGGCTCCCGACCTCCTGCGCGTTATCGCAACTGTAGCCTGAAGCTTCTTCCATATGGCAGGTGTCCTAGAAAAAAAATATCTCCTCTCTCTATCCCCATCTGCAGGGCCACTTACCCATTCAGTCATTGGAGTCACTCATCTCCTTCTGAAATGTGGGTGTAGATGCGAAGCCCCTGCTCTGTGGCTGCGGAACTCTCACAGGAGCAGTAGAGCCCCACCTCGGGCCCGGATGAGGAGGTATCCCCTCTGCCTCACCCTTGTCCTGGGCCCTTGGAAGCTTCTTTTCAAATTATTTTATTGCCATTTTTGGCTTGTCTCTCGCACACTACTATGTATTCTTTCTTTGCTCAATTTTTATTTTGTTACAAAGTAGCCATGGCATAATGGCTCTATTCCTTATGTGGAGGTGGTGCATACCCATCACGCAGTCAATTTTATTTCCATCCCCTTCCCCATTCCTCCATCTCTTAATCATCTTCCCACTTGGAAAGGACCTATCTCCCTACTCCCTGTTACCTTTTATTCTATTTTTTATGTATTCAGTACAGGGTCTCGCTACACAGTTCGGAGTTGTAGTGATCCTCCTGTTTTTCAGCCTCCCCATTGCTGGGATTACAGGCACACGCCACCATGCGTGGTCTTGGTGGCCAGCTCAGCGCGCCTAGGGACGGGGCTAGTGCAGCATGTGGTACCAGGGATGGAACTCCAGCCCTTGCACTTGCCTAGGTAGGCGCTTAAACCCCTGAGCTATCTCTGTGGCCCCCATTGTCTTTTATTTTCCTCTGTATTTTTACTTTAGATTTCTCCTATAAAGGAAACTGCCGTCTATGCTTGTACATCTAATTTACTTCACTTAGCATTATGTTCCCAAGGTGCATTCACTTTCTTACAAGGATTCAAATGTGTCCCATTTATGGCTGAGTAGTATTTTGCTGTGTATAAATACCACATGTTCCTTCTTCATTGATCAGTTGCTGAACCTGCAGGCCAGTTTCAAGATTTAGCTATTATGTCCTCTGCTGCTATAAATATGCATATTGTGATTGACTAATTGCTACAGTAAGATGAAACTTTAAATATGATGAGAATGGTAATATGTGCTAATTCTTTTCTTTAATTTCCTTTATTTTTGGAGACTAGGTGTCCCTGTATAGTCTGGGCTGGCCTTGAACTCACTACATAGTCCAGATTGGGCTCAAACTTGCTATATTCCTCCTACCTCATCTTCCAAGTGTTGGGATGACAGGTTTGCAGCATCACACCCAGCTCTTTAGCTTTAAAACTAAAACTTATTCCCTTGTAATAGAGTTGGAAGATATTTGAGAAGCTCTCTTTATTCCAACATGAGTCAATAATAATTAATAGAGCTCGTAAGAAGGAAGAAAAGCCAGCCAAAGAGATGTTCCTGAATTTCTATTCTAGATTGAAAAATCCCTCCAAGAAGCACATGTTGGATATTTAATCACTGCTGTAACAATTAAGAGGTGAAATATTTAAAAGGTAATTAAGGCCCTGAGGACTGTGCCCTTAGGGGTGAATCAATGGGACAGTAGTGGCACAAGCTTCAGCACTCTGTGAGGCTGACACAGGAGAATGGTAAATTCAAGCCCAACCCAGACAATTTAGCAACTTATTGGGATTATTCTGCCTTTAAAAAAAGCTTTAGAGGGGCCAGAGAGATAGCTTAGGGGTCTACAGTGTCTGCTTAGGCAGGCTTAAGCAAGTGCAAGGACTGCAGTTGGATCCAC